ATTTAATTAAAAAATGGTATAAAATTGCAAATTTTCAGGAACTGCACAAATTATTCGACTAAAAACATATAGTTTTGCAGCCTTGTAATACACCCCTTCAAATCCACTATGCTTTTTCCATTGATTAATTTTTTCGATGTCCTTGCGAGAAATTCTGCCGTACATGTGTATGTATCTTTTCTAGTAGAAAAATTTGTGTATCTCCTGAAAATAAACCAAATCATATGCTTTCTTATTTTATATGTCCCTTCAGGCTGTTCAACTGTTGTAAATCAGTACGATATGAAAATTAGGTTTAGTTAAATTTTTTTTATGTCATACGGAAGTACAACCATTATATCAACCCGAGGGGACATGTCAAAGACTAAAACTATTTATTTTGATTATTTAGTATTATGAAAGGTATTTTTTTAAATGAGGAAACAAATTTAAATTAAAGTTAAATTTAATCATTTAATGTTCATCATACGCCCTGTCACACCTATTAAAAAATGTTCTACAATTGCAATCCTTCAGGACATACACAAATTATTCGAATAGAAAACATATCGTTTTGCAGTCTTGTAATACACCGTTAAAAAGCCGCTATACTTTTCGATTAAGATTTTTTTTCGATGTCCTTAGGAGAAATCCTGTCGTCCTCTTAAAAATTTAAAGATGCAGATTTACTAGAAATGCGTTCAAATGTGGGAAACATTTCGATTTTTTGCATTTCCAAAGTTTTCATGGACGATTTGGCAGCCTTAGTTCAAGTTATTAACTAAAACTTTAACTAAAAGTCGGCACGGGTTATCGTTAGCCTATGGCCATAAAACTTCATATATATGCTATTTAGGCTAAAAAGCACAAATATCATATCAAAATTTGCAAACAAGTTTTTTTCCATATATTCTTGGGACAGTCTAATGTGCATACCGATTTTTAAGTAAGATCTAAATACCTAAACACATACATATGTATGTATGTATAAAAACTAATTTATAAAAATTTTAATCATTTAATCTGTATTTTCTGTTTTCAATTTAATATATGTACATAAGTATGTACCTATCTAGGCTTTCTACAGTAGTTTCTCTGTAAGGCATTCTTTGTTCGCTTCTCTGGATTCTATTTATCCATGCGTTCTCCCTTCGTTCGAAGGTAATATTGCGGGTAAGGGCTTACCGCCAATTACATGCCCATGTTAAAATAATGCCTTCTTGAAGCGAAAGGCTAAGCGATTTCCATCGCCTAATTCGATTCCATTTTAACTTCTGTGGTAATCTTGTTTTTTTGCTGGGTACTTTGTATGGAAGAAAATGACTGACATCCTCAACAAAAAATTGCCAAAAATCAACGGTATTTTGTAGCCACTTGAAACTTGCTCTTTATTGCACTGAAATTAGATGGAAAAACTAGAAATTTCTACGAAAGTTTGTTGATTTTTTTTAATGTTCCACAAAGATTGAAACGTGGATTTATGTGGTTTTTGTTGCAGAATATTATATATTTTTATAAACAAATATTTAAAATAAAAATCTGAAGAAAAATATGTGACTACTATATACAACATGGACCAAAAGTTTATACATACAACTTTAGCGATCCTAGTTAGAACAACTTAATTGTTGATGGGGGAATTCACTATAGATCTCTTTATCTTCTGTGTTCTCAAAACATTTTTAATTTTTTTTAAGTATTTAAGTATTGAAAGCTTTATGAGAAAATTTTTTGTGACCACCAGTTTTATTTTAATAAACAATTCTGGATTTGTTAAAGGCTTAATTTAAGCATTTGTAAATTGCACGGCAATTCCAACTCGAACCCCCTAAATTGGTTTGTGCGTTTATCGACATGTTTTCGTGAAGGCCTTTTGACCCAGACCTACGCTTATGCAACTTTAAAGATTTTATACGGTTGTTACACGATTTTTAGTAAAATTCGCTAGAAAATAGGTATCATACGAACGGAGATTCAAACCCTACAAAACAATGAGGCTTCTAAATTACGTATTAGCAGGCAATTAGGATTGTAATACAATAATATCTTAAAATAGACTTTTACAACCATTAATAACATTGCAGACCATCCTAGGTATGGTTGTGCAACAAAACTAACTTAACTTGTGTTAAACAAATTTTGGCAAAAAAAAACAGGCGTGGAGCGGGCAGTGGAAAATGAATAGATGCCTTACAGGAGAAATCAAAATCAGTAAGGCCACATAGCAAGTTTTGAGGCAAGGTTGGGAGTGTTGCACAGGAAATTCACCAGGTTTAGCATATCTGAACAAAGCTTGAAGTCTTACAGGCCAAACTAATTCTCACGCAAACCGTCAATTTTCTGTGAAATATTTCTCCTAAACATGCAAGTTGTATAGGACTAACCAAAATTTAACGGTGTGCGTTAAAAGCTAAATCTATTCCAGTTTTACTTTTTCGTGAAATTTTGATTTGACTTTTCGCCGGCTGAAATGTCAATTTTGTATGGGAACTTCCGGAAGCAATTCTATGTGTGCTATGAAAAAATAAAGAAAAAATTTAAAAGTAATTTAAATACGGTATTATCGTATTTTTGGGTATGTAAAAACCCTGTAAAAAATTTAATTTGCCCCAGTGGATGCAAATGAAACGTGTAAAAGTGCTAAAAATAAATCCATATACATACAGTCGGTGTCAAATGTAAGTGTACACCTTGTTGTAATATAAAATTCACAATTATTTTCATGCGAAATTTTTTTCATTAATTATTTGTGATAATATAGTTCATTCTATAACATAAACCATATAAATCAAAGTTTCACACTTTATATAAGAATCCCAAAAGGTCAAACAATTTTCATCAAAATTTCAAAATTTGTATCCAGAATTTCTTGAAAATTTTTGAGTGTACAGTTTTGTATTGTAGCCCGTTCAATCTTAGTAAAACAAAGTGCAAGTTTCAAGTCGGTAGAAATTACCCTTGAAAGTAATTGACGACTTTGCTCCAATGCGTTTAACAAAAAAAAAATCTGATGTTGTCTGCGTTTTTCTGTACACTGAGATAAATCGCTATACATAATACAAAGTACGATAGTGGTAGCCACGGCTACTAGACTAGCAACTAGACACCAGTTGCCATACATAATAGGGCCATAAGTTTCTCTTACAGCATTATTTGTTGTATATACAGTTTGCCCCCATGGTGAACTAAAACTACAGGCTTTTTTGATTGCAGCCAAATGCCCTGTATGCAGCTCTCAAGAAAACGGTCTAGAAAAAATTGCCATTATTTCGTGTGTGTGTGTCCAAGGAATTTTGACATTTTTGGTACTTCACAGCCTGTTGTCTCACTCTTTCCTCAAGAAATAATGGAACGGGCATATATTTCTGTTGCAAACATGGGTAGCCTTGTGCTCTTTTTTCACAAAAAACTTTAGACAACCGTAGTAGAAAGCGGAGCAAATTCCTTAAGAACTGCGTACTGCCTTAAGGAAATTTGACTCAAGAACCGTTGGGATTATTATTATTATTATAAGAAAACTTCATAGCCATTTCTTGTACGTCATTTTATATGGAGTTTTTGCTTTTCTTGAGAGCTGCATACAGGCCTAAAATGTATTCAACAAAAAGTGATTGAATTTGACATTGCTCTAAGAATAACCATCCTATAAAGTTAAATTGAAAAAATTTTTTATGAATTTTGAATCACTTGTTTATATTTTTTGTCAATCACACCTTGTTTAACACACCTCGATTGCAGCTGTGAATTGGGGAGCGATATGCCGACAATCGAGCGCAAAGGTTTAAACTCTAACAGCCATTTTTCATATTAAATTCAAATAAAAAAATGTTTTTTCACTTAAATTACTTTCGTAAAACTGGCTATGAATGACTACATTTTAAATAAAAATTTCCTGAACAGTATTTTTTTTATGATCCAGTAGATAAGTAACTAATTTTATGTAGGACGTCTGTCGGGTCTGCTAGCATACTATTATAAATGTTAAAAAGAAGACTGTTTTGCTTTTAGTTTTATTTTATGTTATATATTATGTATAATATATGCATTCTGCTGCTAAAATTTGTTCGCGTTTTGTTATTCAGCAACGACATAAAAAGTATTTTAATATGTACTAAACATACATATGTATGTATGCACACCACAGATAAGAGAATGAGGCCAATGCTCAGCGAGGAACTTCATTACATAAACATTTGCGCTTGCGTAGATTACTTTACGGCAAAGGAAACAACAACAAAATGCCACTTAGTTACCAATAAAAAACAACACACTTTAGAACAAACAGAAAACTTTACACAAATTATGTTAATACAATACGTACATACATACATATGCATGTAAGTATTTATGCCTGTACTTGTTTGAGCATATATGTACATACATTTGTATATGCATTTGTATGTACATACATTTGTATATGCATTTGTATATGCATTTGTATGTACATACATATGGAAGTACTTGTACATACATACATTTACTAAAAAAAATGTCATAAGCCAAAAGCGGAATTTTTCAACGAAGTTTTCAATTCACTCCCGAAATTAAAGAAATAAAGATTAATATTCTCTACTCACGCGGAAACTGTTCAAGATTTTACACAATATGAAGCATAAAAGCTTAAACAGACGGCAGCGTTTATCCGGATTAACTCGGACTTAATCCGGATCAACTGCAGTTAATTCCCGAGTTGATCCGGATCAACGCTGTCGTCTGTTTATGCTTTAAGATAACGAAAATTTAGTTTTTGAGTTATGCCAGTCTTTTAGTATAACAGTGATATGGACATATGTTTATAGTATGTATGCATGTGAGACAGTATGTATATACATAATTATTCGTATGAATGTACGTATGTATATACATATGTGCATACGTAAATATAATGTTCGTTCGTAAAAAACAATAGCGCCGATAAAAATCGATGAAATTAAACAAAGCAAAAGTAAAAACAGACTCTACACACATTTCTGCATCTGTACATAGTATGTATACTCGTACACATATTTGTATATACATACATAGATATACGCGCGCTGTTGGTTTTATTTGTTTTTTGGTAACGAAGGCAGACAGGCGTAGTAAACAGAGGTTTATCGCACGTTTCTTTAAAAATCTTACTTGAAAAGTTTCAACTGCGCACAATTTCATTTCACTATTGTTTTAGCATTTTTCACAAATCATTAACGCAAACGCACTGGCCCGACAACCAAAACTCAAAGACTTCCACACAACGACGAACCACCCCACAGACTGAGAGACGGCGCAGCATATAAGCGTATGAAAAACGACTGGAAGAGGTGGAAAAATCAATATTGCCATGCGTCGGCAAAGGCATCGGGCGGCCGGTCGGTAGGTTGCTTTCTTTTATTGCTGTTGTTTATGTTATTGATGGTGCTCTCAGCAAACGCCACTGTCGACGTGGTGTGAAGTCGTGCAACTGAAATGCGAAGTACACCAGCGCAGCCACCAACAATTGCGCCTACTCCCACTACCACCCACCCCAATTTGCTGCCCTTAAAGACTAGACAATGGCGCATGCACTGCACCCTTAAGCTACTCGTGCGACTGACCGCTCCGCTCCCTTATACCAGTCGGGTGTCACTTGTATTTTAAGCTTGCGCGACACGTTGTTCGGTGGTAGGTGAGAATCACGTACATATGTATGTATGTATGTACAAATGTGTTTTATGTATATAGATATGTATGCATGTAAATTTGGTTGTATTTATGTGTATGGGGTGTATATACATAGGTGGATACCCGTGCCCCCTGGATACGAGCCGAGTGTGTACATACATATGTATGAATGTATGTACTCATAGTACGTAGCCAAAAACATACAGAAGAAATCAACTCATGCAACGAAGGACTACTGTCAATAAATTTAATTATATAAACGCACTCCTAAATTTTTGCTGTGTGTTCTATTTTGCTGCTTTGCGCTAAGCATTTTTTATTTTAAGAATTAAAGTACATATTTAATATGTGGTGTCGAGCACGACGATTCTTTATGCTAGCTATTGTTAACTTTCCATTCACTGCTCATGTGCACCGCTCCAAAAAATTCTTTTTGATATCGTAAGCAGAAACAAAAGTAATTTTTAAGCATACATACATATGTTCATACATACATACATACGTACATATATATGTACATATGTATGTACGTACATTTGTATATGTAAATCTGGGAGTGCTTCTGTTCAGAGAGGCAACTGGAGAATATCTCCCACCGCGCCAACGCACTGACGCACATAGGGGTATTTGGCCGATTTAGGCGGCTAAAATTATTTTTATGAAAATTTTAACTAAAAGACGTGTTACGACATATAAAATTGTAAATGTTTAAAATTATGTAAATAGTAGAAGAGGACGTCCAATTATAAGGCCTGTATGCAGTTCTCAAGAAAAGCAAAAATTCCATACAAAATGACGTACATGAAATTTTCTTGTGTAAAATTTTCTTGAGGCAGTACGCAGTTCTTAAGAAATTTGCTACTCTTTCTACTACGGTTTCCTAAAGTTTTTTGTGAAAAAAGAGCACAAGGCAACCCAGGTTTGCAACAGAAATATATGCCCGTTCCATTATTTCTTAAGGAAAGAGTGAGGCAACAGGCTGTGAAGTATCAAAAATGTCAAAATTCCGAAAAAACCGAAATAACGGAAATTTTTTCTTGGCCGTTTTCTTGAGAGCTGCATACAGGGCAATACCACGAAAACAACGAAACTAAAGTTGCTTAAAGTTTGACATATTGCCGTGGTCCGAAAAATAATAGGTTCATTCCTTATCTTTTTGGACTAAAATCTGAAAAGTGTCAAAATGCCAGAGCGTAAGCAAAATGCGCTCACTAAAAGAGAATAACAGGAAAAGTAAAGGAACGCAAAAAACCAAATTTTTAGTCCAAAGAATGGCAACAACAAAGCTAACGTCAAATAAGAATGGAAATGTATGTACAAAACACATTCACACAAGCACAAGCACAATAAACACTTACTATATCAATTATTTTTTGCCTCCTTCCAATTTCAATTCACTTTTTTTACTTTTTAGATTATTCTCACTTTTTGCGTATTCTTTAATTTTCGTTAATTTAAATTTAGTTGAGTTTGACACTTTTCAGGATTTTGCCAGAAAAAATTCTTCTGACTAAATCTGACTACTTCG